AATCCTTCTTAATGACCCTGAAAAGCACACAGGATACAGATCTGAGTTTTCTGTTCAGATTCCTGTTATACCGGGAGAGCCTCGCTCTCCTTCTGCTGTTGGCCTTTCCTTTTTTAAATCACAATGACTCCATGAAGCATAAGAAGCTTACATTCAGCAGAGCAACAGTGCAGCTGGCAGCGGTTGTGTAAGAGTTCATCCTCTTGTTTATCATGAGTTCATCATGTGGAAAACAACAGAATTTAAACAAAGAAGAATTTATCTCAGCAGCTCTGCTGCTCTGTTCCTGACAGTCTGTCCACACCTGTCCAGGTACTGAAGGAAAAACCCAGCAGAGCCTGCTGAGCTAACCGTCAGAGTTTAAGCAGTAAAAATAAAACCTTCACCCTTTAGGAAGCAGCTTTACTGTGTTTGGATCCTCCCCCAGAGAAAGGGTCTGTTGTTTAATTCATGTTGTGCATCTGTGCGTGCATGAGAAGCAACTTCGATACGCCTGCAGAGTTTTCACAGCAGAGTGAATGTGTGAGCACCTCTGGAGGTGTCAAGAGATGTTTTCCATATGTCTGTGTTTCTGTGAAATATTGCTGTCTCTGCAGGGACGGGTCGGGGCGACGAGGAGACTGACTGTTCCCACATCTTTCCTGCCCTGGCAGCCGACTGCCGAGCCGGGATTCTCCCTGGTGTGTCCTGAAGCGCAGAGGGGATTTTCCTTCACTGGAATTCTGTGTTAAACTGATGTTTCTGTGATTCTTCAACATAAAGACAACATAAACAAGGGGCTTTGGGAGTTTGCATTAAAAGTAAAAAATAAAAATGCATTTCTCGAACTTTTTCACACTTCGTTTCATTCTGACCACAAACTTCAAAGTATTTTATTGGGATTTTATTTGACAGACCAACACAAAGCACTGAATAATTTTGATGTAGAATTAAAAAAAATATTTTGAAAAGTGTGATGTATATTTAACTATAAACATACATTAAAAGAAAATGCATTTAATTACTTCAGTTAGGATGGTGTTCTCAGGCTTCCAGCTTCCCTGTTTTTCCTCTAAACGTAACGATGGACATTATGTCCAAACACTGCAGGTTTAGTCTCATCAGACCACAGGACATGTCTCCAGTAATGAAGGTCTCTGTCCCTGAGTAATGGCTTCTTCCTCTCTGAGTGGCCTTTCAGCCCATGTTGGTCCAGGACTGGTTTCACTGTGGATAATGACTCTCCTACCAGCTTCAGCAGCATCTTCACAAGGTCTTCAGATATTGTTCTGGTGTTGATTCACACCAAAACCCGTTCATCTCTAGGTCACAGAACCCGTCTCCTTCCTGAACCGTATGATGGCTGGACATCTCCATGCTGTTTGTGCTTGCATATAATTGGACAGATGAATGTGGAACCTTCAGGTACCTGGAAATTGGACCCAGGAGGAACCAGACTGGTGGAGGTCTGTAGTTCTCCTCCTGGTATCTTGAGGTGTTTCCTTACAATACATCCACAGGTGTTTCTCTATTTAACTCAGATGATGGGAAGCAACTTCTCAGAAGCTCACAGAGCCATGACCTCATCATCTGGGCTTTGCTGAAGCCTTAAAGGCAGAGACTTCATCCATGTAAAACGGAATAAGAAATCAAAGCTAGGCGTTTAATTTTTGTTTGGTGTTTGTTGTTTTATACATTTTATTTTACATTAATTTTTCTCCGATGTGACTAGAAAATATTTACTGCGTTGAATTTTAATGGAAATATTAAAAGTAAAAATTATTCAACATAAGCTGATAGAGTGAAAAGATCAACTCTTATATAAAGATTTTCACAAGGAATAACATGTAAGCAGATTTGAGAAATATCAATGAAAAAAAAGTCGGGAACATTATTAAATAAATTTATTAAAGCTATATCTACTTCCTTTAACCCAACTGTTTCCAGTTGGTGAATGAAGTCCTCTTCCAGAAACTATATGGAAGTCCATGAACCTGGACCTTTCCACTTCATCTCCTTTGCCAGATCAGCAGTGCTGATAGTTTGCAGGTTGATGCTGGACAGAGGGATGTCAGTCTCAGTTCTGGTAACATTATCTCCATCACCTGATCTCTGATAACCAGAGGACAACAGATGGACATGCCATGAAAGATAAATCTGAATGTTGGTCTGAATTGGAACATTTTCACAGCATCTCAGGGTGAATTTTGTCCCTAATTGGTTTGAATCTGTTTGTTGGGACACCCCAACTGTTTATCTGCTCAGAAACCTGGGGAGGAATGTGTGACTGTGAACCATCTCTGATCTTTATGGATCCAACTTGTTTTTATAGATCCTGGAGTCATTTAATGGAGAGGAACTGAAGGATTCTGCTGTGGCCACTTACAGACTTCATGCTGCTTTCATCTTGTCTCTCAGTCCTTCACAGTGCTGCAGCTATGATGGGCCTGATGGTGGGGGATGTCAGCTTCAGCTCTTGGAGGTACTTTATCTTGTCATCATGAGACGGAGGCTCAGCCGTTTTGCTCCTCTATAAATCAGTGCCAGTCAGAGCCAAACTTCTGCAGCCTGAGTTTGCAGAGTTACAGCACAGCTTGAGGAATGTGGCACCTTTACTTCCAGCACCTCGTGCTCCTGTTGCTGATGATCGCACTCAGAGCAGCTCTGACACTGATGCCTGCTGCTCTTCTTGATCTCAGTTTGTGGCGCCAATCTGCATGTGAGTGGACCCGACACCTCTAAGGGGTGGTGATGACACGTTAAACTCGGTGTGAACCCGGAGCGATTTTTTAACGTAACATGTGCCAGAAGGACTCCTCGGTGACATGAAGAGGGCAGGATTAAGAGGATAACAGAGCGGTTCCAACCTCAGAGCCAGATGATGGGTCGTGAGGAGATTAATGGGCTTTTTGTGCAGCACACAAGAGTTTTGAAGTGCTTAAACCCAGCTATGATCCCTGCTTGTTTCACTGGCTCTCAGCGAGCCAGAGGCGTCCTGCAGAGCTGCAGACAAGGCCTCCAGGTGGTCCAAGATGCTCCTCACTGCCAGTACAGTTCCTGCTACATATCCATTAAAACACATAAGACGTGCTGTGAAAATTACTGTAATTTCTGCCAACATGTCGGTTCTCCAGGCAAGCAAACATCAGGCTGGATCTTCCCAGGTGGTCTGTCCAGTCCGTTTTTAGTTCTGCCTCAAATGTTCTCATTCAACAGAACATAAGGATCAGTTTTTTCTCAATGGAAATTAGCAATGCTCAGTTGGTAATCTTTAACATTCACTTTCAGATGTTTCTGTTAAAGTGAAGCTGAACCAAAGGTTCTCCTTCATCTCTGAAGCCACATCCAGATGGTTTCATATTAAAATAAAACACAAACCTGCATCAATTATTTCATTCTCTAAAATCCAGGTTCTTCATTTTTATGAACAGAAATCAGCTTTTTATTGCTGATTACTCTGATTTATATAACATTTCAGAACCTTACGGAGCAGAGGTTCTGATCATGGCTGATCTACTGACAGATCTACACAGACAGCTCAACAAAATGAAACATTCTGGTTTGTTCATCACGACTCTGTCTCTTCACAACATGTCCGGTCTGCAGTTGCCTTCTGGGTGGGTTGTGCTGCTGGTCTTCAGGTGGAAACATTTTCTGTCAGGATGTGATCAGAAGAAGGCTGCGAGCTTCCGGAAGTTAAATCCTGTACGTCTGAGTGTCGATACACAGAGTCTATACAGACTGTGAGACAGAACGGTCCTCTGAGAAGATTGAATATCTAGAGAGATAAATAAATCCATCCATCCTCCTCTTATCCTGATCCGGTCGCATCAGTAATGAGTCCAGGAGGGAAACCACTCCCTCTCTTACAGTTTAAACCCAAGAAGTGAGCCCATACTAGCTAAGAATACTATAATTTCAACAGATTGTGTGATTCTGGGTTGGGCTCCTCCCTGAACCGGGTCACACAAGCTGCTGACACTGAATCCAGACTATTTCTTCTCTTTCTTCAGCTGATCTGAATGCAGCCATCTGAAGGAGAGGCTGGTCTGAAACAGTAAATCAGATGGTTCCACTGGGTCCATTTTCTAATTTGCCTGTAAAGACACTAAAAGGACAGCAGTCTGCTGAGTGGTTTGATCCATTCATACTGATAAAGTTTATAATAAGACAATAACTGATTTTAGGTGTAAAATGGGCTCTTTGTTGTAAAGAAGAGCGTAGCTAAAAATGAGTAGCGTTCAGTCTATCAGTTTGAGTCACGTCAGCCTGTAGCAGATGTGCTGAGTGGATGCTGCAGGAGACATGCAGCGAGATATTAAACCGCTGGAAGTTCAGATCCATCAGGTCCAGGTAAACCTCAGCACGACAAGAGAAGAATCCAGCAGGGTTCTTCTTTAATGGATCCTTCCTGCTTTAAAAAGCTCCATCAGTGCGATGATGCAAACAGGAAACATGTGGCTGAGAGCAGAGGAATCAGCTGGTCTGCGAGGCTTTCATGATGTCAACCTGCAGCTTTTTAAAGGTTTTTTCTTCTCCACATGGTGCTCAGCTCACTCAACATGTTCAGGTCAGCAGAACATGAAACTACGGGTTCTACTTCAACTGAAAGATCTAAATCCAGACTTTAGGAAATCTACTAGAAATACTTAAAATAATTACTTCAGAGTTTGATTTAATACTTGACAGTTTCCTGTTGACCATCTTGATTTCACTCATCTTCTACCAGAGACCTGAAGGTTCTCTTTGCAAAGCCTATTATAACCATGGTAACCAAAACTTTGTCCAAATATGGTCACAGCTTCCTTCCTGTGTCAGTGTCTTTGTCTCTGACATGAATCCTGATATGAGTGATTTGAAGGCTGAGACCAGAAAGTTCTATTGTAAAGAGGTTCTGTTTCCCATCAGAATCAGAACCAGCTTTATTGGAACAAACAAGGAATCTGACTTTGGTTTCACAGTGAAAAGATTATAAATATAAAAACCTTAGAGGAAATGAAATAAAGGATACAAGGAAGAGAGGCTGCATGGTGGAGCAGTTGGTAGCACTGTTGCCTTGAAGGTCCTGGGTTCAAATCCCAGTCTGGGGTCTTTCTGCATGGACTTATCATGTTCTCCCCATGAATAGATGGGTTACTTCAGCTTCCTCCATCAGTCCAAAACTGTGACTGTTAGGTTAACTGGTCTCTCTGCATGTCCCTTAGTGAGTGTGTGTATGGCTGTCCTTTGTGTCTCTGCGTTGTCCTATGATGGACTGGTGACCAGTCCAGGGTGTTCCCCGTCTTTCACCCAATGACTGCAGCAGATATGGATTTTTGTTGTCACCATGTTTCAGGCTAAGGTGTCTTTATTTACACTATATACAGTATATATATATATATATATATACACTATATCTTTGAAGCCTAATTCATCTTTATTAGATAATATTTATTATTAGGAATCTGATTAACTGCCTGCACTGCTGCTCCTGTTAAGATGTCACCACTGGAGCAGCTTCAGAACAAAAGGTCTGATTGGTGTTTCTGCTCAGTTTTATTTAGTGACTGCAGGTAAACTAAGTTCTGTTAAGTAAGTAAGTAAGTGGACTTTATTTTTATAGCACATTTAACAGGTCACAAACCACAAACAGCATTAAAACAACATCACTGAGCATAAAACTGGTTAAAGCCAGTCTGAATAAATCCAGCTGCTTCGTAAAGCAATCAACAGAGTCAAAGATGGAGGCAAAGCCTTCCACAGCCAGGGGGACAAATCTCCTCTGGTCCTAAAATGGGTTCCTGGAACCATGAACAGTGACTGGAAGATCTCAGCCTGCGAGAAGAACTGTAGGGCTCCTGAAGGTTGGAGATTATGGCTGGGTCTTGACCACACAGGGCTATAAACATCAGTATTAAAAATTTAAAATGAATCCTATCATGTACCGCCAGTCGACTTGAAAACTGGCTCAGAGTTTATCTGTTCTTTCTTTCTAGATGAAATGACTAAAGGAGCTACATCCATTAACATTTACTTTTCCTTCCCATAGAAAGTACTCCTGGATCAGTGCTTCTTTGTTCTCTTTGTGTCTCTGCTCTGTTCTCTCAAACCCCCAGTCGGTC